GGGGCAGAGGGTGAAAGGGGGCGAAGTAGTTTTTGGTGAAAAAGTCGTTCTCATTGATACATCTTTTGGCGTGTCTCGGCGTATTTTCCTTTAATCAGTGCTGGGAAGTTTCCAAATGAACACCCTGCATGTTATAGGTACTTAATTACATATGGAAAAACAGCAAAATATCTACCTACGCGATCTATTTACAAATAAACTAAATATTCCTTGTCGCAATACCAATTTGTTTTATTTGCCTTGCTAATAATAAATTTATTAATACAGACTGACATAACGAAGGATAAAGAACACGAGTATAAAACTCTGGACTTTTAGCAGTCTTATACCTTATACATAGAGTAGGTAGATTTTTATTACTTTTACATCGAGATTCGACGAATTGTACTTGTTTCCCCAGCGTACAAAATGAAAAACTGTACAAATTGGGACTGTGGGTGTCTCCTATAAGGATATAGAAAATGAGAAAATCAATGATACAAAGTAATTTTGAACGAAATTACTTCTGTCATCCACAAGGTGACATCTTATCTGATTTAAAACAGAATTGAAATAAACTACTTTATGCGCTATTGATCAACGGAACGTAAAAAATTAAAAACTGCTGAATGTCACATACTTTTTTTAGCTTCCTAGCATGTGCTAGGTAGCTATTGCGATAGCCGTTTTTTGAACATTTCAAAATTTCATCAAATGTCGACGTTTTAGACCATTTTAAGCAACTTTTAAAGAATAAAATATTTTTCCGTCTGTATGTACGTACGTACGTACGTATGTACGTACGTACGTACGTTTGTTGGCAATTTTCTGAGAAAACGGCTCGACGGATTTTGTTGAAATTTTGTATATATGTTTAGGCATACCGAACAGAAAAATAACGGGCCGAATTTTTGAAAAAAAATTTTGGAGCGCCGTAACGGCATCGAACTTTTTTTTTCAAATAGCAACCTAAAATTTTTATTCTATTATTTGACCTTATTTTCCTGTGTACAACCTACAAAAAATTGGGCCGGGTTATATTATCAAAAAACGGAGAAAAAAATTGTCAAAGTCAAAAAATTGTGTTGCATATGTGCAAAACGTAACGATCTTGTTTCTGAAGCAATTTAAACGAATAATGTTGGCAATTTTTGGTTTCAGCTAGGAAGCTATTCTGTCAAGAATTTGACACCTGGTTTAAAAGTGTTTCGGCCCCTTTAACTTTTAGCCCTTCTTGTTTGAGACAAATATAGAATTTATTGTGGCTTGTATGTGTACCGGGTGACCCAATAAGACTGTTCCTGGGCCATATTTCGGGAACAGTTCGTCGTATGACTTAGGGGTGAAAAAATGGAATCCTTCTTCGCCAGGGGGCTGGTTTTGACACTATGATCCAAAATCCTAAAAATATCAAAAAAATCAAATGGAATGATATGACTTTTTCTTTATCAAAAAGTAGCCAAATAACTTCCAAAGAGGCCCGTGAAAACCGGTTTTTGAAAATATCGTTCCTAACCTTAAATATTGGGAAAACGAGATTAATTAATTAATAAAAATGCTTAAATTCTATCTTAAATTTACGTTTGACATATTTCCGGTAGGTATTTGTCGATGGAGCGAAAGATTGTTTGGAAAAGCACCCTACACTTTTAGATAGGCCTTGGAAAATTAAACAAATGAAACACGATGCATTATAAAATAATAACAGCCGTAATTTGTAAATTATTCTGCTGTGTTTACATTCAGAAAGTGCAGTTTTTTGAATTCGTAATCTTTTCTAAATGGCCGATTTATAACCAAGAAGCATTTAATATGCTGGCGGGGATGGTTCGTGGTTGATTCGGAAAACGCAAATCGAAGATGCGGGCAACGATGGTCGCATTTTGAAAACACTCAAAATATATAGCCAGCATATTAAATGCTTCTTCGTTTGAATTCGGCATTTTGTTACAATTGGTCAAACGGTTAAGAAGTTAAAGCAGGTTTTTTACCCCTAAGTCATACAACGAACGGTTCTCGAGATATGGCCGAGGAACAGTCTTATTGGGTCACCCGGTACATGTATTCTGCCCCCACTCACCGGATTGATTTATCTATTTCAAATTAAATTTTATGCAGACTAGCGTATCTAAAATGATCCATAACTGGGAACGGAATGTGATACCATGATGCTGTTTTCACTGCACTCAGGAGATTTTTAAGTTTTTCTAATTTTATGGAATTCTGGTTAATTTGAACTTTCATATACCTACTTACATCTAATTTTACAGTGAGTGATAATAGAACTCGCGTGACTTGCAGTGATTACCGGCATGTGAAGTCTTACGCTGTACAAATTTTTCTAAATTTTTATCAGTTTTTGAATTTTTATGTTTTTTATTTCCTCTCAATTTGTGAAAAATTTTTTATATCCTGAATTTTGTTAAATTTGACGCGAAACTTTGTCGTGTTCATATTTTCTTCCAAATTTTTATAAATTCTTTATTATTGTTTCAAATGTTCGCAGGGCTTTTTAAAATTTTTAATCATTGAAAATGACTTCAAAAAGTCTATACAACTAAATTATCAACACAAATGCTACCTTTATATTAACGATCATTTTTTTAATAATCCATTTTTTTGTGATTTTAGCGTGTTGGGCCTTGTCGTATTTGTGGTACAGCGATCAAGGGGGCGTGTAACGCCAGGTTCGACTGGGTGTATGACGGCTCCAAATGAGAATCCAGACTAAATACAACACACCCTCCTATTTGTACCATTCGAGGCGACCCGCAATGGCGGATGAACGGATCCTGGTAGTTGAGTTACCTGAAGTGGCGACAACACACTACTTTGGTCGGAATTCGTTTAAGACGGGAGGTCATGGCTAACCACCCATGATCAATCGACTGTGTCGTCGGGTCAGACCGCTGATTGGGTGAGCATCTGCAGGGTATTGGCAGCACACTGACTAGCAAAAGGTAGGCCGTTCTCGAATGACCTACTCCAAAGAGATCAGGCTAGAGGGACGAATTTACGCTCCTATGAAATTGAGATTGATCTAAATAATAAACCAGAGGGAGCGTCCCAGGATACCCCTCAATCTATGTTACAGGTCACCAAGCCTCAACAAGAATCCAAACCACGGAAGCGCAAAAGATCGTCTGGCGGCACCGGAAACCGAACCTGGGTCCTCTCAGTTTGTAGTCTACTTTCCTAAAACACTCCGTCCGTATACGCATAGTATCTCTATCAGCAATTATTTCATGGGAGATATAAATTAAAATTTTGTATAAACTTGGTAAAAAAGACTCTCTGCTATTACTAGACTTATGCACATTTTTGGTATGGCAGATCAGTAGCGTTCAAGCTAACTGATATAAGAATAACCATTCCTTCGCTTAAGACATTTTATACTATAATTTCTCTTCCACTCCAGCACTAACACTCGGCCAATTTCATGCAAAAACCAAGTTAATCTAGGAATATCTTTTACCGACACAGCCCCTCCTTGTCAATTTTGTAGGAAGACCACGCGGGTGTGAGCGGAGGAGGTCAAAGTGGTGCATTTTGATGCGATTTTTCGACAGCTGCCCAACGAGTGGCTGAAATATTTACTTTCTTGAAAGCATTTTTACCCATCAACTCGCTGACTATACACCCCTCCAGAACAATTTCGTGACAAAACCAAATCCCTCGAAAAAACTTTAAGGTATGCTAACAAACGAAGGCGGCCGAAGAGGATCGGGATAACACAGTACGATGCACCATCGAGAATTTTCCAACGAATGGTCGCATGACATACCTATGAGCAATGGTTTCGGAATTATGACCGGTATCGGATCGAGAGTGGCGGAAGTTGGTAACAAAAATTACCTCCACTATATCTGTGTGCGATGAAGCAGATTACCTTTCATACTAAGCAATGCAGGAATAACTCGATAATGCTAATACTGAAAACCCCCAAGGCGGTATTTCGGTGTCGAGATTTCGATCGATTTATAAATGGATACATTTAAAGGGAATGCATAAATTGTCAACTTCAGGAATGGCTTTCAGATTTCAAACTAAACGACGCAGGAATAACATGAGAATACGAATATAATGCCGAACATCCGAAAGTCTTACGATATTCCGTTGCCGACATCTCGATCGATTTATCAAAAGATCAAAAGGCCCCCAAACAGCCGACAGTTAGTGACACTATAAGATCCATTTTGAGAATCAAAAATACGCTAAAATTTGAATTTTCTTTCAAAGTATGAGGTGTGTGTATAACTCGTAAGTTAACAAATCAATGGAAACTGAAGATATCGGCAATGTTTTCAAACAAGCGTAACCGGAACAGTGAATAGGTAATTAAATCAACGAACAGGCTGTGGAAACAAATAATAAAATCTTCGTCGCAAGGGTTATGCTCGCAATCCCAACCTAACGCAAGGAGTAGAAATAATTATATCAGGTTGTATTTGCTGACATTTACGACTTCAGGAGTACGAGGGTCCTCTATAGAGGGGTTAGGCAACCCATCATGCTTTTACAAACTTTCGACCCTCATAACGTCATCAGGGTTGAAGTCTACAAATTTCTAGAACCTGGATATTAATGTACACGGTGCGGCGAAAATTTTGCCGGATCGTTTTTTACGTTTTTTATGTAATTAACGGATCTAGCGAACCAATGAAGTTATCAAAAAAATCTTTCCGACAATAAGTTCGAATTAAGCGTTAGAATTGCTACATATTGAACAATTCTTTTCAACTTTTTTATTAATTGCGTTATGAGGAGTAAAAGTTTGATGAAATCTGCATAAAAATCCGAAATGACACATTGCCTTCAGGCTAAAAGTTGAAATGTGTAAGAGGGATTAGGGAATTCCCAAAGTATTACAAGAGGTAAATGGAATGCTAATTAGTTGCACCTACTCACTTACCTGAAAATTGTATTGTATTGCAGAAAAATAATGGTATCATTAGACACATTGTATTATTTAATCACTAATAAGCAGCTAAATTAAAACACCTAGTAATTATTACCTTCAATTAAAATTGTATATGTTTTATTAAAATGACAACAATGACAATAAAAAAAGCTATTAGATTTTGCTATAAATATCTCGCAATTGAAGTTGGCGGCATCTCCTAGGATCGATAATTTCTGGCAGTAACGAATTAAAATAAAAGTCGGCCAATTTTTCTTTCATCTTCGTTTCCCAAAAATCGTCATCGCTACAAAATAATTTTATTGTTTTTGTTTGAAAATTAGAACTTAGCTTACCGTTCAATGGTTTCCACATGTAATCCTCCTAATGTATATATTATAAAATAACACAGTTGTTTTTTACAAATATGCAATGCGCCTTGTATTTGGTAATAGTAATTATGACTTCGTTTGAGTGTAAGTTTGCCATTTTCAATTACACAAAAATCAATTTTTTTTTGTTTTGCGCCTTCCAATGGAGATAAGGGCCCACTTTTTGGTGAACATTTGATTTCTATTATACAATTGTTACCCACTAATCCATCCGGGGAGCAAGCCAAATATGGTAATTCATCATCAATTACCAAACCACTTTGCGTTACACTGACGTTATGAGCATTTTGAAATAATTTAATTGCCGTTTCTTCATTTTCTAAACCAAATGTTGTACTACTGTTACCGGCAAATGTAGTGTAAAGCAACTGTGAAACTAGCTTAGCGGTGGAAGTTGTTTTGCGTAGTTTACAAACTCTGCCAAAATTTGAAGCGGTAATTCGTTTTTTGCGCTCTTGATACCAAAGGTTGGACTTTGATTGCGATGCCGTTTCCATACAAATCTTTTTCTTGTCCGCACATCGTAAAACTTCTAGGAACTCTTGACGTTTTTTTTTATACAATTCTGAGCCCATGTCCTCCTCTGGTTGGTTTGCGCTAGGCCCATAATGACTGTCTGCTGTAGCAAAATGTTTTCTTTTCGGTGCTTTTTCTAGAAAAATATTACTCCTAATTAAAAAGAAATTAATGAAATAATACCAACTTACTTCTATTTACATGTAACATTCGCATCTTCCGCTCGTGAAATATACGGGTATAATGATCAATAGTACCACACATTCTTTCTTGAACTTTTGCAAGAAAACCACCACCAGTGTTGTATGAAATCGAAGCCGCCTCACATCTAGTCTGGTAAGAGTTTTTTAAGGAATAATTGATCCGTTTCCCACCGACAAATTTGGCAACGACGGAATTGTAGCTTTCGGCTGCATTTGTGTCTACATCTTGTAACAAACTAGCAGCATTATTTGCTAGTCTACGATTTGCAGTGACAATTGGTTCAAAAATACCAGACAATTTTAATGTAGGTACTAAATTTTCCTAAACAGATACAAATAACGTAAAATTATTCTGTGCAACAATGCGTCAATATCATTACCTGATCTTTATTTCCAGAACAGAAGTAACCGTCGCAATTAGAGTGGTCCCCAAATATATGATTTGGCCCATTTTCAATATCTTTTTTTAAAAGAGCGACTTTTGTATTTTCAGCATCAGGACCCTGTTTTCTAAAGGCAATAGCTTTCGTTATCGCGTTTCGGAAGCGACCCAAAACATCTGTATTAGTTACTATTCTCCTGAGATGAATGGGGAATTTGGTATCTTTGGACAATTCTGAAATTTTATTTATGTAATTCCTAATGAGGTGATTTCGGCATTCAATTTTCTCTACAACAAAAGTTGGTCCATATGGGGATACCTCAACAACTTTTTTATATACAGTGCTGTCCCCATCCCCAATAATTTTGCCATAGATCAAATTATGACTTTTAATAGATGATTGAAACCCTTCGGCGATTATTTCAGCTTCCATTGCCGTGGAACTTCTATCCCAATTTTTGAAACAAGAATGTTCTACTGGAGTACTTGCCCTAGTACAGACGAAACAGTATTTATTTTTAACCCCCATGTAAAGAATTTTCTTAGTTTTCGCTCCAATTATACAGGCCTAGAAAGAAGCAAATATAATGTTTTCAGTAACATAGAAAAAAGTACTTACAACTCCAGATAAAGCATTGTAGTTTGTACGATAGGAACGTTTACTCCATGCGCCATCAACAATCACTGGAATTATAGGAACACCTTGTTCAGATACGTGGCCAGATTCAACAGCCAACCTTCTTTCCTCTTGGGCAGCGGTATTCATTAGTTTAATGTTTTCGTCGTGTATATTTTTACTCAAATTAGAGTGATAGCGTAAATATGTTGCATTGGACATATTTGGAATGTTTAAACATGATACAAACTCGTTTATTTGAGAATATCCAACCCCAATTGATATTGCTCCAGCGACAACGGCACAATTTGTTGGAAAATCCTTCTTATTCGGATTTTCTGTATTAACAATTTGGATAATATTACAAACGTTGCATTTAAATGATATTTTACTTTGAAATCCTTCAATTTTTTCGGATAAAACCTCCATATCAAAAAAAAGAACAATCAAACCCTAAAACAGAAATACATATTAGCATTATATCTCTATTAATTTTAGTTTTAAATGTACTTACCTTTGTGTTTCAAAGATCTTAATTCGTCCAGAAAATATTTTATTTCAATTATGCGCCGCCCTACTAAGCAATTACTTTTTTTTGGTTTGATAACATCCAGATCTGTCTCAATGGAGATATCAGTGCCGTCACTAGAATCGCCGCTAACGGTAGTAATTACTTCCTCGTCATCTTTGTTGAAATTGTGAAATGGATCAGTTGCATTGACAAAGTTGCTATCTATATTGTCATAACTACAGGACGCTATTGGTTCAGGTTCAAGTTCAAGGACTAGTTCGTCCAACTCCGTATCAGAATCACTATTATAACAACTAGTACTAACAACTGCTTCTTCTTCACCTTTGCTTAAATAATCAGGTGGCCCAGTTTTATCAGAAGAATTGTTATCAACATCATTTGAACTGCAAAGAGGCACTGTTGTGGGGACTACTTGGTCCATTTTGGGAATTATAGAATTCCATCTCCTACAGACAAAAATATATTGAATACGCCTACTCATAAAGTCCATGCCCAAAAAATATGTAACACATGAATAGTAAATCAACCCCCTTACCCTATAATGAACGATTTTGGCTACTTTTTTATTACGTTTATTAATTATATATACACTGAAAGAAATCTTGAACATAATACTAACAAAAGGCAATAATTAAATCAATTTTCATTGGTATAATGAAGTTTTCATCAGTACTATCAATAAACATTACACAGTTTTGACCAAATATTCATGTTGTTCATCAGTAGGATGTATTCTCATTTATTAATGAGATGTTTTAGGCGTTATTGATTAATCAATAATTATTCACAAATATTATGATAATGTGTTCTCACAACCACTATATTTATTACAGTTATGTACGGCCCTTTATTAATATTAGGAAACGTGCATCACAGAAAACCGCTACCGCGTACATTAGAGTGATATAAAAGTTTGTTAACCTATGAAACCGCAACATCAGCATATTAATGCTGTTTATTAAAACAATGTACCTCTGTTCTTGAGTTATGAATTTGTTCATAGTATTGATGTCCACCTACATAGATGGAATACACTTTTATGTGTTAATTAATATGGGCATTGCATCTATAACGCGATCGTATAGACAATGAATGAATGAAGCAATTCATCAAGTAAACGCGCCAAAACTCCTGCCGTATACTTTACGTCCAGCGTCTTTATTGCGCCATCAGTATATGCTAGTGGTGTTTTAACTTGTTAACGTGATATAGGTAGGTATTTAAATTGCATATTATTGTTACTTACTATTTGATGTCTTGTGCGTCTATTTTCTAGAAGTGTATCCTGTGTATCAGTGCAACTGTGCTTTAAGATTCAAAGATTCTCACCGAGGTGCCTACCCAAGTAGGTACAAGGATCAAAAAGTGTTTCCTTTGGATTTAAGATAAGTACCTATACCTACTTACTATTTAAGTTTATACCTAAATACCCACCCTATTCCCGGTAAATTTATCCGGTGTGTATAATAATCATCGATAGAGGTACCAATAGTTTACGGGAATAGGCAAAATGTTATGTTTTTTGTGTAAACAATTCTTTAGTACGATACCTTTGCTATTTTTTCATTTTAAACGTACTCACGGCCTAAAATCAAATGCAATATTTAGATGTAGCGAAACTAACTGCCATCAGATTTTTCAAAATTTAGGAAGTTTTAAAAAACATTTAGATCGAAAACATGTCACCAAATCACGGGGCGATACAGTTATTATAAATAGTGAAAATATGGCTCTTCTGTCAATGAAAGCAATATTCTTAACCATGAGCATGACGTTGACATGGAAGTTACGAATAATTTATATAGTGGTCTCTCGGCGTCAACAAAAACAAAAGCTGAAAATTTATATAATTATCCCTCACTTAATGTTTTAGAAAATCCACCTGCGAGTAATGATACTCACCACACAGTCAATTTTCAGCCCGAACTGTTGTTAGAAAAAATTTCCAATTGCGCTACGAAATTTGTGTTTGCCCTTCACAACAATAACAATTTCTCGAGGAAAGATGTTTTCGAAATTCAAGAAACTGCTAAGCAATTCTTGATAGATCCGTTATTAGATTTATTTAAATTATTCGCTGTTCATAAAATTGAGCTAGATGTGTGTGCCCAAAATGAATTATGTGGTCTCATTTCCAAATGTAGAAATCCATTTAAACATTTGAACACCGACTACCTTTTGTATAAATGGCTCAATGAGGGAGATTACGCTAAAAATATAACAGAATTTACTATCGATAATCAAGTAACTACAGTCCATCGTAAAGGTAAATTAGTTTATGATGAAAAAACTATTAAGGGTGTGGTCATGCCACTAAAGTTCCAGTTCAGAAAGACATTCGAAAAAGATGATTTGCTCTTCCGGACTCTAGGAAATATAGAGCTTTTGAAAAATGACACCAGATTCAGTAACTTCGTACAGGGGAAATTATGGCAACAAAAAATGGCCTTATATCCGAATAAAACAATAATACCCTATTTTTTATACGTGGACGACTTTGAGATTAATAATCCTCTTGGATCTCACGCTGGCACACAGTCTGTTTGTAATTTGTATTATTCATTTCCGTGTCTTCCCGGGGAGAGTTCCAAGGTGGAAAATATCTTTTTTGCAGGTACAATAAAATCGACCGATATAAAAACTCATGGAAATGAAAAATGTTTCGAGTTTCTTGTAGAGCAGTTAAAAGACCTAGAAATAAATGGCATAGATATTAAAACTAGTCAGAATTTGAATCCAATACGCCGGGTTCACTTCATTCTAGGCTTAGTTTTGGGTGACAACTTAGGTCTAAATGGGTTTTTGGGCTTCAACAAATCATTTGTAAGTAAAAGTTATTGTAGAATTTGTAAAGCAGTAAAGGAGGACTGCCAGAAATTAACGTCTGAAAATTCTGACTTGATTCGAACAGTTACTAACTATGAGTCAGACGTACAACTTAAAAATATTGTTGAAACAGGGATTGAAAGTAATTCTATTCTGAATTCGATTCCGTCATTTCATGTTGTTGATAACTCATATGTAGATATTATGCATGATTTATTTGAAGGGGTCTGTCACTATGACTTGTGCCACATAATTCCCCACTTTATTAAAATGAAATATTTTGATTTGGAAACCCTCAATTCTCGCAAACGAACTTTTGAATATGGTCGTCATGAAATTGGGAATATTTCTGGCGATATTAAGCAGCTTCATTTAGACAAAAAAAAACTGAAAATGTCTGCAAGGGAAATGATGTCATTTATCATATTTTTTCCGCTTATGGTGGGAGATTTTGTTCCAGCCGATGATGACGTCTGGAAATTCCTCATTAATTTCGTTGAGATTATTGACATTATACTGTGTTTTGAAATTCATGAATCTAACCTTACATTATTGGAGAACAAAATTAAAAAGCACCATGAAGATTATATTCTATTATTTCGTGACACCTTAAAGCCTAAATTTCATAATTTTGTCCACGTTGTTAGAGTATTACGTAACTCGGGTCCCCTAAGAAAGTTGTGGTGCTTCAACTACGAGACTAAACATCGTCAATTTAAAATATATTCCCACTGCATAACTTCTAGAAAAAATATTTGCTTAACTTTGGCAAAAAAATATCAACTAAAATTTGCGAACTACTTAATCCATCAGGATACTAATTTAGAAGAGTCTTCAGTTTGTTTGAATCCAAAACATGAAATAGGTAGCAAATTTCTTAATATAATCTTGTCAAAACTAAATAGCAAGGAAACAGAATTGAAATTTTATTCGAAAATTGTGTACCGAGGTCATGATATCATACCAACGGATTACATTGCAACATTTGAGGAAGATATATACATTTATAAAATAATAGAAATTACGCTGTTCAGGAATAGTGTTCTACTATTTGCCCAAAAATTAGAAAGAGTTGAGTATAATCCTCATTATGTTGCGTATGTCGTCGATCCCAATATTTTGGGGCAACTAAAATTCATTCCTGCGAATAATATTATTGGGCCTCCTCTTTCCTTAATAAAAACTGCTCGGGGTATCTGTATGCTCAGAATAAAAGAATATTACAAACCCATTGCATAAACGTATGACCCCCCACGTCATCGTACACCAAAGGAGTACAAGAAGCGAAGCTCTGCGCATGACACTCTTGCGCGAGCTTGGTGACCCTGAAGCCGTAGACGTTGATCTGCAGCTGCACTATCGATTTAAAGGTACTGGCACGACCGCGGGCACGACAGCTCACCAAGCTCGCCCAAAAGCAACACACGGAAGCTTCACATCTTGTCTCATCTCTTTTCCTACACTCAGATGAAAGTATATCATGTTCCTAATTAATAATATTTGTCTTAAAGAAACATTTAAATAGCTTTTACATTTTTGGCTTATTTTAATTTGCAGTAGGGCCGGTTGCCTAAAAGCGGTTAGGCCGGAGTTTGGAGTCAACGGCTGAAACACAATTATGAAATATTTATCTGACATCGTGGTATGGCACAAAATTATCCAACTAGTGTGTTTCAACCGTAGGTTGACTCTAATTAATGGAATCGGTTTTGTGCTACCGGGCCCGAACCCTAGATCCATTCCAACTCGTTTGTTTTTGGTCATTTATTCACCTTTACATTAACAAAACCAGTAACTACCTGTTGTTTTAACCATACAGATTACATAGGTAATGGATGAAATTCTGCAAACTGAAAGGCCCGATGACCTAATATGCGGCGGGTCGATATTCCACAGAGTGCCACACGAAGAAGAATTGCGAACCGACTTCAGGGAAAATTCCCCAAAGCATTACCAAAATCTTGACCAAAACATACTGCTAACTTCCCTGTCTCAGTTGCAACATCAAAATAACGAAGTGCATGGAGAATATATACCCGAGATTAATGTTTCGTTATCTAAAGATGCAGACGCCATAGAACTGTTAGAAATGCTCAAAAACTGGAAACTGGAAATTCTGTTGGATCACTTATTGTGTAAGTTAATTTATTAATTATAATACAACACTCGATGTACCTACCTATAATAAATTTTCTCTTCAAGCGACATGAAATTGTCATATTACTAATCAAATCATGTTGGGTAAAAGTCATTCTTGGAAAATCTGAATTTCAATTTCACCTTCTTCATCAATCTTTGGGATTTAGTTGAAATTCACGATAATGTCACCTAGACGTGTTACTCTCAAATTATTGTCATAAACTTGACCTACTCCTCATTCACACTTATTTCCATAATTCTTCCTCTAATGCTAATCCGCTTGAAGAAAAAATAGTATATTGTGCTCGCGGTTGGATTTTCTCAATGATTCACTCATAATATTCTAAATTCATAAGCTCAATAATGAGAAACTCCGTTCACACAATAATCTGTTGTTAAATACCTATATCGAATTACTTTTAGCACAGAATATCACAACTACTATCTTGAAGGTAATCAAACGACATCATCTCGAAAAAGTTCTCAAGGATTTTGATCTCGGAACTCAAATCCTGTTCGAGCATTACTTAGAGGAATGGAGAAATTCTATCGGGATTCCTTTGACTGCTGCAACATCGGTTAGCGACTTTACCCAGTCTTACAATATTTCTAGTGGAAATCAATCTCCTACCCAGTCTGTTAGGTCGTCCTCATCTTCACCATCACATTTTGCCTCACATAGATCTCTTTCACCAGTGCAGGGCGACTTAACTTCGCTTTCCACTATTTTGAATGAAACCCCAAAAGGTATTATGTTGACAGAGTTCTACAAAAAATTTAATAAATTCAATGAAGAGCAAAGGACCTCTCTCATTGCCTGTATAGCGCAGTATTTCGAGGAAAAAGGTAAAACGATGTCACTGGCCGTAAGCTATCGAATAGAAAACGAAATATTGGAACGCTTTCCTACAGAAAAATTGGTGAGTAGGCACCATATCACTGACAACTTCACTATAATGTTGTTTCAATATTTTAGGAATATTACCGCACTACTAAGAGAGGTAAACTTTATAACAAGTTCTCCAATTTAAAAGCTTCCTTCAAAACGGCAGTATCGCAGCACATTATACCTAAAAAGAAAAGTCGTACATCTACAAAGGTACATAGTGAAAGAGTGTTCGGTAAGTGTGATATTATGTTCGTTCATCTAAAATTCTAATCAATGTATTTTCAGAACCAGAAGCAGGAGCCGATTGTCTAATTCGATCACTGAAATATGACAATTTAAGTGCAGAACAATTTGACACATGTTGGCAAGCGTGTTCTCAATACCGCCTTAATGAAATAAAAAACTTGCAAACAACTGCGGAAATTTTGAACAAGTGGCCTTATTATAAAAAACCGACTGGCTATAGACTGGTAAGTATCGCTGGGCGATCATCAAAATATAACGGGTGATCAAAAATTAGTGGTAGTCGAGTCGCCTTGGAAGTTCAAGTTAAATTCGATTTCCCATGTAAACAAAAATTCCAAAGGTGACTCGACTGCCAACTAGTGCGAACTAAAAGCAACAATTTTGTACTTGTGCTCCCTGTTCATTTAATTTAACCCAAAATTTTGCATTGTCAGAAAAAGTTTTTATGCAACAACTTAAAACTTTAATCAAGAAATAATTAAAAATTAGTCCCATAACCCATTTTTTTAATGGACTGAAACAATTTTTTTTGTATATTTCCTTCAAAATCGCATATTCGACTAATTGGTCATTAGATTATATCAATGAATCGATTACTTTCCCACCTCTGACCGAAAATAATCGATTAATTAAAAATCGATTTTTCTAAAAAAAATAATCGATTATTATGCCCACTTCTTCTGGTAAGGTTGCATATAATTATAGTTCTTGACTAAAATAAACTATTAAAATATTGCAGATTGACATGGATTTCAATGTTCTCTATAGAACAGGGGATGGACTTCTAAATAAATGGGAGACTTACCGAGATAAACTGATTTCTTTTCTTGCTTGTGAAGGTCACGTGAAAGATAAATCAATCAAAGCAGTGTTGGAAAAATTAAAAGATAACGACACATTGAACCCAAGTAAGTACATACCTACATATCATCTTTTGGTAGGTAATATATTTTTTGTTTTCAGATGGTCGTGACTGCGCAATATTGTGGGCGCTTCATGGTTATTTGGTGCCTACGAACAAAATCGTGAGGAAGGACTCAGCTGGAAGAAACAGTACTACCAAGTTCACAATCAAAGACTCTCAAGAGTCGTTTATCTTCATGGGCCACAACCCTCAAGAGACTGAAGACCACCTAAGGCACTTAAAAACAAGGAAACAAGCTATACAGCCATTTATTTTGGGAATTGGTGAAGAAATTTCCAATATTTCTGAATTATATGTATATTTCGATGACATCAAATATGTGTTTACCAATTTTTTGAGAGCGGTGGACATTTGTTTAAAAATCTTTTTTCTGTTCAATTTGAATTTTCCACCGGAGTCTGTAATGTTTTGGAATTTTATTGCCACTAAATTTTACGATATAAAATCTGATGTCTCTTATACTAAAGTTCATGTTCTTACTCAAGCGCTGTCTGAATAAAATTAATACCTACAAGTAGTTTCTTGCAAAAGTTTAGATTGTTTTTATGAAGCTCCTATATTCTTTTAGGAAGTGAGTACATCTATCATAGGGAAGAGCCTCTCAAAGTAAAAATGGTCTGTTGCCAGAATTTTATTTCAATTTAGGTTTAAAGGATTTGTAAAGGTCGGTATCAATGTATTTTTATTTTGACTGCACACTTTTGGAGTATCCCTATATTACGTTCACATCCAAAGACATCGATCTTTATCAGATCTTGTAAGTGTTGTGTGTGCGTGGAAAAATTTGATATGTTAATTAATAACGAATTATTTCCATGAAATAGGTACGTTAATCCTATGAACAAAAAATAGATATTGATGACGGGAATCGTTGACGTAACAAAAGTACATAATTGACGTGTGTATAACATTAATAAACGGTGGTTGTGACGATAAATTAGGAAGTTAATTTAATGCCTAATAATTATTATATCAATGAACAAGCTTGCATTAACTCTATGAACAACCAACAAAAAATAGTTATTGACGAAAGCAACCATGGATATAATAAAACTAATAATAGATGTGTGCATCATATTAATAAATTGAGTTTTTGTGGCAATACATTTCTGCGTGAATATATGAAAAGTATTTATTGTCGTAAGGTAAGCAAGATCTTTGAATCAATAAAGCAATTCATATATACGATTTACGAAATGGTTGCTGTTGATTTCATTAATGCATTCATGGATACAATTAATAAGAAATCGCCTAATAAATCTGATAATAATTTAATGTAGTATGATGCACTGCGGTAACAATCTTGTTCGTTGGACAAATTTCAATTATTTTTTATTTGGCTCCACGAATACACTTATTATATCCACGTCAGTTTTTCGTTCAGTGTAAGAAGCAGTTCGAAAGTTATTTCACTTTCAACTTTCATGAAATATTTTACAGCATGTAAACGGGCTGTAGAGCAAATGATATATCTGTTCGTAATTTGTTTTTGTTATCCAGTGATATTTATTAAGAAGTAGTATAGGAAGCAGCGTAATCCCTGGAATTTTCTAGTTGGAATATTGTTGCTTTGGCTACCGTCTTTTTATTCCCGTTCGTGTGCAATGTATCCAACTGAAGCAAAAGTTAATATTGTCAATTGGTACAGCGCCTGTAACAGTTTAAGGAGTGTAAGGGCCTTATTGTCCCACCAAAGCTGCGCGACAGCGATGCGACAGCGACACGATTTCGTCACGGCACAAGAAGGCGGCATGGAGTTGTTCCACTAAAGAAACGCGTTTTCTACATTGAATTCAGTGAACAATGTCATCTAGAGAAGATGAAGATGTGACTGCAATGCACTGGTACTTACGAAATGGAAATGAAAGATGCTTTTATTGCAAGAAACCAAAAAAAAACGGAATGTTTGTTGCTACTAAGGAACTTGACAGACAATCAGTGCATCTACTAATTTTTCATTCAATTTCTGTTCATTTTTCTGTTGTGCCATGGTATTCATTTCCAATTACCTCATTAATAACGCAAAATACGGCCGCCACACAGCTGAATGAATCAGAAACCGACCCGCAGCTTAGATGTTTCTTTGCTGTAGCATACGGGGTACATAAACCTGCGTAAGCCATAAACCAAAAAATACATCCTTGCTACATCGTGTCGCTGTCGCATTAGTGAGTCATGGCCCTAATAGATTTATTTTCTTTGAAACCAAAGCAACAATATTCAAATTAATCTTTGTTTTAAAAAGTTATTTTGGTTTCATAAAATTAGGTGCACTTCAGCAGCGATTTTCTCAATTAAAAGTAGACATAGGGAAAAACAATACACGCAAATCCGTATGTCTGCTTCTTAATAAATATCACTGTTTTCACCATTGAGCATACGTCATTCCTGAGTTACGCCGAGAGCATGTTTGTTACAAGTGGATTCTTTTTTATGCGCAAGTGCGTTTAAGCGATCTACGCACTTTTTAGGGTCGTGTCACAGCTTTCTAGACTTTTCGGCGTTTTCTTAGCTTGCCATTTAGTTAAACACTACCTAAAGAGCAGAACGGGAAAAGCTCGAATCATACATTTTCCAGGTGTTTTCCTGTTTGGTTTTAAGTAAGACACTCTGAAAACTTCTGTTAATAGCAAAAACACTGGTTTACTTGTCAAAAAGTTGGCGACCAAATGCATGTGCATGAGTAATGCTTTTCTACCACATATATCGTTGACGATGGCGTCAGGCCTAAGGTTGGTGTTTTGTCTATTGATGCACGGTCACTCTTAAACCCATTGCGGATCTACATTTTATGTCGCTTTCCTAAAACACAATTTATTGCGACAAACAATTCCATGGGTTCGATTACTTACCAAGTGCTTTCTAGGATTGTAAAGGATTGGGCGTAATTAAGCAAACATTTTAGGCCAATTGATATATTTTGTATTGACTGAACAATTTTAATGTTGTACCCTTTTCACATAGAAACAGTTTGATATACATTTCTGCATTTGACACAGATTAGCAAATATGAAAATATGCTAAGGTGTGCAATATAATTAATATTGATAGTACATCTATACATACATTTACAATCACGTAGTAGTTATATAGGATTTTTTTTTATTTATATAGTCAGTCATGCATTCTTATTAGAGATGTGGCTGGATTAATCCCTAATGAGAAAGCAGCTGAGATGCAGAAGTAAATTTGGGAAACTTTAATCGTCCTCGATCGGATTTCGAGGACAACATAGTCTTTCCGTATGGTATTAACGATCTGTACATAAAACATTTTTTCCTTAACATACGTTGTCTTGCAGCTTCGATGACAGATTTGAGAAATAATTAGATTAACACATGAAACGAACTAACGAAAGCGTAATTAATAACTTGCTTGTGACATTTTTAAATAGTAAAGAAATGATATCGCATTTGCCGTTATGCACGCCATGGTCATTCGTCCAAAAAATTGATGCACCAATTTAACACTTAAACTAATCACGAAAACAACATATTCATGTTAAAAGGGGTGCATCAACTTTTTTAAGGACAAGGGGGACTTGTTGCTTAGCCCCATTTCTGAAATAATCCCATCCTTTGACACCTGCAGTTGGCTCCCCATAGGTTGCATCTGCAAGAGCTGTTGTAGCAGCAGTCGTTGGGTCGGTGATCGCAGTTCCCTCCTCTTCTTATGCACGCCCGTCTGAAAAGGTAAATTAAGGAAGAACGTCTGGAAAAGAGTAGAAATGTCATAAAACTATGGTAAAGCGACTTACTTTAACAATGAACAGCTGCCATTCTACATGTACCTAACCTTAAACTTACCAAAAACATGTCTATTTATTTCAGATGTCGTGCTGCAAAGATCGTGATCGTTAAGCTAAGAGATAAAGCTACGATAGAAAATCAAAACGCCAAAAACGGAAGCATGCAAATCACAGCTAAGCAAAGGTGGAAGGTTCAAAAGGTAATAGAACTCTCTGCGTGATAAAACCAAACATCAATAATTAATTACCGGATCAACAAAAATATAGGATTGTTTATTTCTTGCAAACCAACATGAGATAGCGTTGCGGGTTATAGTTCAAATATAAAAATTAAGGATTGTGTCTTGGGGACAAATTGCATTTAGGTGTCAATCCCTCCCCCACTCCCACAACGGCTTATCTTTATGAAACTATAAGGTTATTAATTTTATTTTTATGTGTAAGGTACTGAGAGCTCTCCCATTCATTTAGCCGAGAAGATATTCTCAATTGCTACCAGTCAGTTATTGCATTACCGGTAGAACTTTTCCATTACTATCTTGAAAAACTGTCGAATTCATAGCTAAATAATTGGTATCCATTGCAGTACGCCACAACTTTTTCTTCTGACTACTTTGAACAAACTGAGCAAAAAAGTATCGGGAATGAAAGATTCACAACGCAAGTTGGAATATGCAAATGGTGCTACTTAATCTAACATGAAACACCGAATTTATGTACAAAGCTATTAATTGTCCAAAAGGGTAATTTTGTGTAATTGTGCGATAAGGCAGAGCTTATGTCGCCGCGCTGTATTTGAAAGCGCCCTATTGAAAATCCGACACAAACTATCCCCAACGTAGTCGTGTACCAAAAACCTACAATTTGAGTGTGAATAGGGGACTTATTCAAGTATTCCAACAATTCAGCAACGATGATAGCTCTACATTTCGCATTCAAAGCGTATTGTGTGATTAAGATTACTATTTAGTGTTGAGATAATTTCGCATAAGGGACACAATGGTTTAGAGTGCAATTATACGTAATAAATTCTTTTGTAAAAAAAGCTGTCTTCGTTAGCAGCTTGTATATACGACGCTATTTTGCTCACCCACAGCTTTTTTTAGAAAGTAGTATTTTTTCCCATTACTATCGCTAGAAGGTGAAATGTTTAATTGGCAAGCTTTAAGTAACTGTCTAATAGAACTGAAAAAGTGTAAATACAAATTGCTAAAATTACAACCGTTCCGTATCCATTCCACTCTATCAACTTTTTAAACATCTCAGACAGAACTAAGCGGGAGTTTCAATTTGTTTTGGTTACTAGATTCTCTAGGGTACCTTTCGAGGGTTTTGGGGTAACAGGAAAAATATGTTATGGAATGGGAGCTTTCTGGAAGGTCTATTCGAAGAAAATCCATGTTCAACTTACTAAATAATTTAATTTCGTACCACTCAAAATTATGCAGCAATCCAAAAAGTTTTTTAGGTTCTTAAGGACTGCTACTAGTTTTGTACAAATGTTGATCCATATATATTTAAAAAGAGATATTTTTATGTCATCGCATACTGTAGGGTGGCGCATGGAAAAGTTATAGTTAAAATTGAATTTTTGAAAAACTCTCGAACAGGGCAATTTAGGTGCGAGGTAGGCGTTTATACAAAAGGGTTACTCATTACTCTGAAATATTTAGCAGTAAAGATACAAATTCGCCTTATTTTATGCCATTAGAAATATTTGGACAATCATATTGTTCCCACAACTTCAAACTTCAAGTGCTGGCTTCTTTTTGACTTCATTATTGTTTTACGTGAAATTTATATAAACTTGCGGATGCAGACGGTACCTACCTTGAAAATTGATCACTTGAAAACAGTTGTAATTATGGCAACCCATTTTTACCAGTGCATAGAGCAAGAATCGAACATTAAACAAATCGAAGAAAAAAAATCCCAGTTTTGAAAATTGGTACAATTGTTCCTTGGTATGTAAGTTTCAAGAAAATAAAAAATCCTTACGTGGGGATGAGCTCGAGGGAGGGGGTCCTTTATAGAGACCCTTTGTTTTAGTTTTACGCCTCGCGGTGCTAAGCAAGCACTGTAAAGAGTCTAAGAGAGAGCTCTCTGATGGACATAAAATGACCAGTAATGGAGCTACAGATCTCAAACGCTTAAAAGGCGAAAAGAGGCTCTAGAACGCGTTGGGAAGGCGCCATTCGAATGATCTGAAATAGGCGATTAAAAGGTTTTGAAAAGAGTTCAATGGCGTTCCAAAGCATTATCATTACCGTTGCCAGAAATAAGCTGCCGCCCTACAGAGAGAAACTGAAGAATGGCCGATTGCTTCAATTTGCTGCAATTCCTTTATTGAAACTAAAACAAAATCGCTCTAACATTATTCAGGCATTTTTTAACGTACAAATTAATTCCGTCAAAGAGTTTTTTAAATGGAAGTTATAGGTGGTCATTGTTTTAAACGATTGCTTGTTTTATGAATTTTCCAAAAATGCGTAATGTCATATACTTACTTTCAAGTTCTCTACAACAAAGTTTTAATTCATCTGGTCTGAAAATAAATAACAAAAAATATAGTCGCCTATGAAACACTTGAAACACAAGCTTGATCCACAAACAGTAAACAAGATAGTGAACTAACTACCTGATATTGAACAAAATCTACAAATATTTATCAAAGTGCCCTACATTGTGAGAAAGGTACATGTCACATCTCTTTCTCGACGATCTTTTTGCATTCAGAATTTGTCGTGGTTGCACTTCTGCAGAAGGAGATTTATAAATTTTATTTTTAAACAAAACCCACATAAAGGAATCCAATGGGTTTAAGTCGGGTGAACGTGCTGGCCATTTTATTGGCCCTTGCGTCCAATTATTAGGTACAAGATTATTTAAATCATTTCGAACAATTAACGCATTATGAGCTGGGGCACCGTTTTGTTGAAAAATATCGGTTTCTCTCTCTTCTAAAGGAATATTATCGAGTAAGTCTTCCAAATTATGCTCTAATGTTTGGCCTCTAAAAATATGATATTTTAAACTATGTCATTTTAGGCAACACCACCCATTAAACCCAAATTTTCCTTGGACTCGTGTAGATATAGTTAAATATGAATTTTCATTTCCTTTTATTTTGTTATTTGTCTATTGAATAATCCACTATTTGATATGTGTGCTTCATCACTCCAAATAATGTTGATACTTGATACTTTGACATATGCCTTGCGTCGCCGCCTCTCCAGGGATTTAGTCAACTGTCGTGGGGATGGGATGTGTCCCTGGTAGGCACTAACAGGGGCGTTTCGTCTGTATCGGCCGAACATTTGCTTATAGTGTTCAGGATGGCGATTATTTTCCGTTCAGAAACGGGCCTCAGAAATAATAAAAAGTACGTTTTAGGGGACCATGATAATTTACTTCCAGTGTCTTCCCTAGAAACTTGCCACAAAATTCTGCATTGACTATGTTGTGGAGCAAAGGTGTAGCAGCTTGAATAGAATAGAAGTTTGTTAATCATAAAGTACATTTAAGAAAAATTAACTTAAATTTGATAATGTGCAAGTTCGGACTTTCGTTGATATTGATATGCCGCATAACGATTTCGAAGCGTATTGCCGAATAGTTGCTGGAGAACAGAAGGTGCGTAATTGGGGATGTTTAAGCATACAAAAAAATCAATACTTATATAGACAATAACACAAATACACCCGAGACAAGCAAACACGTGCAACCTTGAAGCATGCGAACAAATTTGTAAAACGCTACCTGTAAACTGTCGATCTAAAATAGTACATCAATGCGACCACTAAGTGCGTTTCTCTAAACTTACTTTTGTGCTGACTGAAACATATGATCTATAGCATTTTCCGAGTAATCATCTTCTAAGGGTAGTTCATCGTCTGAAACAATAAAACGCATTACACACTTTTCCAAGAGAACATGGGATAATTTGTAATGCCATTGATGTTTTAGAAAACGCGACTCGAATAGGGAATTACTGTTACTTAAAACTTTTAAATTCGGTTATATCGCGTACGTCTAAGGGATTAGTGTAATTACAAGCACTGATGTAGTTACTGCCTAATATGTGTAAGTAGAGAATTATCTTTGGAGGTAATTAATTACTCAAAGAACGTGGAGCATGTTGGTAGTCTAAGAGGGATAGATCAGAAGCTGGATATAAATTGCTAATATACTGTCGCTCAACTCAAAATAAAAGATGTATGTGCTACACGTAAACGTATACGTTAATAGTAAGAGTACATAGAGCATTTTAATTTAGTCGTTATCCACGATTGCGGATAGATAAATATCTTTAGGCACCCCCAATATAGAAATTTACCTCGGCAGTGTTAAAGTTAATTAAAATTTCTTTTATTTAAACGGTTGCTTACGGGTCTTTTGTGGGACAATGCCAGAATAAATTGTTTATTCAAGAAGATTGTATACTTTATTTGTCGCACAGTCTTATTGGGTCACCCGGTACAGTACACTGTTCTGTCTAGTAACCATATAAACAAATCCACTTGGAATCATTTTTCCCGCAAAAGGTGTTTGTGTCTTTTTTGGCAACGGTCTTGTAACAGTTATATTTTCGCATCTATGTATTAATTTATTTTTGGTTGACGGTCGTTGTAATTAATTGTTTGAGATTCGCTGGCATACCTAAATTTAATTGTCATTGCGTTATGGCGACCCCTGCAGGTGAATTTTTTCGGGCGACTAAAAAACTCTCGGGCCTATCACCCTCGAAAATATAAATATGCCCTTAATACATAAATAACTATTGTGCATCACCTACGCTCCCCTATCTGTGGATAAAATGCTTTTCATCTTCAAGGTTTACTTAGTTTGTTTTGTTTTGTTTTGACTAGTCGCAGAAGAGAACCCATTAACCACCTTCTACTTTGCCTGAACTTACCCTGCTCTTTTTATTATTTACCTATTTATTTTAGGGAAATTTGAGAGAACTTTGATGGGAATTGAAGAACTTTAGGGAAGTGTAAAGAGGACCGAGCTTGAAAGTTGCATTGGAAAATTGTGAAAAGTTTAGGGGAAGCATGTATCGAATTTTACAAGAGTTTGAGAAGTATGTAAGGGCAGTTTATGGGCATGTCGACGAAAACATGAGAGGAAATTCAACAAGAAACTGGGGAAGAACTATGAATTTAGAATTTGAGATGATCCTTGTGTGCCAATTTTGAGCTCAATCGATCCCGTATACGATAGAACCACATCAGATGGATATACGAAACCGAAAAATCAGTGAGTACTAAAGTCGGTACTTAATAAATCAATTAATCAATACACAAATGAGCGAAACAGGAAAATCCGCTACAAAGAATACAACCACTCTTCTAACCCTAAGGTCAATTTTCAAAGATGCAAATGTGACATTACCCCTCAATTTTATGAACTTTCAAGTTAACGAAGATAAATTAATCTTGCTTTTAGAGATCCCCAGGTCCCAAATTTCATCAAGTTGAAATAGGGATTTTCCGTTTTTCAAAAAATTGTTTAATCCCAATGTCGCGACATCAATGTTAATGTTTATGACACATTCATTAAAAAAGCACTGCAATTAGGTTTTATACAAAAATTCAGTCCACGGTTTCTCGCAGTTTAGTTCTCCTACAAGAATTACAATGACTGCATCTTTCTAACTAAATTTGTGTAATTTCGAATAATTTGGATAGGTAAGCTAAGGTTTATATGCGATCGCATAATTGTGAATGAAAACCAAACACTGTTCTGCGTGCTACCTTCTAAAAAATTCAAAAGTTTGATTTTTCGTGAATATTGAACACGTTACCAAGCGAGGTGAAGCTTTTAAACAGCAATTGCATTTTTAAATTTGCCTACATACCGAAAATTAGATTTAGCGAGTGTATTTTTCCGGCTTTGAACTAAAGGTTGATATTCCGCGCCAATGAATCGTATTCCTTCAGATACAAGAATAAAGATTGAAAACGACATAATTTGTTTCGCGTTGAACACACATTTACGCCCCTTTTATTGTTTATCTAATGTGAAACGTACAAGAGCATGTATTCTGAAAATGGCACTTCCGAGTGCGATTTAATGAAACAATTACCAATGTGGGGTTTAGCTGTCGCTTTACCTTAACGTATTTTAGAGTACGCAATTTAATTAATGTGTCCCCAGCTGGTATTGGAGCTTTTAACCTACCTTTATAAGCATAATAAAAACAGAATTCTAATTGCATGCTATTATTCTTCTCCGTGAAAGAAAAACTGCAATAACGTTTCACGTAGAGAAACTTTCCCGCTTTGTGTATTTAACAAGATATTTTTGATTTATAAAGTTCAGAAAAGTTTCATTTAAGCATAAGGACACAATTAAAAACTTGACTAGTGAAATTTACATGATTAAAATGTAACTTTTCAAGTAGACACAAGTTAAATAACACGAAACGTATAAAGGCAAAACGGAAAGGAATAATAATTAAAATCACCTTTTAGAAGTTTCTAACTGAAGGAGTCTTATTGTTCGGGTTTAAATTCAATGCACCCTCCACTTCTTGTGTGGCCTGTGCAAGCCTCAGTTGATAAGGATATGGGATGGGTACACCCAATACCATTTCACTTACTAGCGTTTTACATATAAATGCCAGGAAAATGGCGAGGAAATTTCCGTATTTACTGACCAGTTTTGTAATACATTTTTCCCAAGATCGTCTTTTTTTAGTATAAAATTTTGAAACGTATAAAGCTTTTTATTAATATTAATGGGTCAGTTTTGACATGAGTCGGGTACACTGACAGCAGGAATAGAAGTCAAGCAAAGTGTTACTGCCACTGTCATGAAACCGAAAATTTCCTCACATAAATTAGGTATGAAATGAAGTTTTACGACAAAAGATAAGTACGCTAAAATCGATGTGCGAATCTACCAAAGTTCGCGTAGGAAAGCTGCCTGTTTTGGGTGTCGAAAATGAAAATAGATTGGTGAAGCACATAAAAAATTAGAGTTGCTAGGATTTTCCCCTACGTCGTTTTCTATCAGAGAAATTGAATTTACTTTTGGATTTAGAGTTTGGAATACTGCAAGTCGCATTTTTAAAGCTGTGATGAAGCTTGGAGTTTCCTGTTCGAAAAGAGTGAATTTGAGACTATTTTAAGAATGCAAATTTCAAATATCTTTAAAGCCTTTAGTGTCTACAACTCCCAAATTCGGTATTTTCCAGCCGTAGAAATTGAAAGTTTTATATACCGCGACCTGAATTTTTCCAGTTCCTAGCCGAGGGGTTGATCACGAGGGCAATTCTTGTCTCTCATGTAGGATCGAGAAAATAGCTAGGAAATGGACGAAATTAGGGGAAATATTAGGACATTTTGGGGAAATAATAAGGAGGAAATTCTAAGGATATTAGGGAATTTTTAAGAAATAAAAGGAAATTCCGAAGAAATCCGAGGAAATTCTGATGAAATCTAGAGGACACTTTAAGGAAATAAAAGGTTTCTATAGGGAAGTAACGTTACACATTTCACGTTAATTCGAAGAAATTTTGTGTAAATTTGGGGAAATTTAAGGCAATTCTAGAAATATTGGGGAAATTAAGAGAATGGTAGCAATTTTTAGGCAGCAAGTTTCAGATTTTTTTAAAGCTTTTAGTGTCTTACAGCTCCTAATTTTGGCATTTTTCCGCCGTAATTTATTATCATGAAGTCATTGAAAAAAATTTAAGAACGCTGACTTGTTAGTTAGTATAAGAGTAAGCTTTTCACTTTTTTAACTTGCATTTCACCGAAATAAAGTGACCATAAATTATACAGATCGGTTACGCCTTGTAACGGGTGGAGTAATGGCCGGTCGAAATTTTGCAAATTTTTCGGATACCGCTTTGGATTTGTACTAAAATTGGATAAACCTTTCTTCCTTTTGGGGATAAAACTTTTTTCGCTTTGTAACTATTGTAGTATGACATCATGTTGGGTTCATTGTATTAAACTTCCTTGTGCCGCGATTCGCAATAAATGGGATCACAGAAAATTCTCAGTGCAAAACAGGATGCAGATAACGAATAAATATCGGATTTCTTTAGATAAGTTTTTTATCATTGAGTCACCAGCCAAGCTTGGGAAAGCTGGTTCTGCAAACGCTGAAAAAATTAGTTGATAAGTATTCCCCAGTTAATTGGTTTAGATGGAGGCCATTGTATGAGAAGTACCAGTAATAAAAAAGATCAGCCATTTTGCAACGATTAAGGGGCGTGAATCTGTTAGGAGAGAGTTAAGAGGAAAAAATTTTTAAAAAAAATTGGTACTGCATAGCCGGGCCGAAGAGATCGAAAATTTTCAATCGCGTGCATTAAGCACCAAATAAGTGATTCCGTTTAAGTGACGGTCGAAAAATTGGTACTGCATAGCCGGGCCGAAGAGATCGTAAAGTTTGAATCGCGTGCATTAAGCACCAAATAAGTGATTCCGTTTAAGTGACGGTCGATATTAGTCCGAGTTTAAGTACAGTTTTGCACCATTAGTTAAAACGGGAAATTTCCATTGGGTAAATTTCACGCCCGAAGAGAAAAAGTAAATCGCGGAATCTTAGTTAAAAATTTGTCAAGCGTATTGTGCTATGAAATCATCCACGTAGTGTTGAAATTAAAATTAGACGTGGACATTACGTATCAAATATAAAGCGCTAAGTAAATTCGAGCGATAATAGCGGTGTGATATGAACCCTTGTTCTTAAAGGAAAATAATACGAGCGCATCTTTGGCATCTATCCGACGGAACAAATTTGAACGTTTCACCCATTTGCCGTTGTGTTAAAATTTACTATTGTGCCTCCTTGGAATATAACCATCAAAGTTTTTTAAGTGTGGATAGCCGTTTTCATCAAAGTAATGTGTTTTAAAAGTTCAATGTAATAGTTT